GATCGATTGGTCGCGACTGCCGATCGATTGCTCCTCAGGCACACTCTGGCCTGATTGCCGGGGGATGTCACGTGGCCCCAGCCCCACTGGGGACACGCGGGTGTGCGGGACCGGGCGCCCGTGGCCACCTCACCGTGTCGACGTCACTTGGCACCGCCTCCCGGTCACGTCACCTTGTTGACGTCACTTGGCACCGCCCCTCCGGCACGTCACCTTGTCGACGTCACTTGGCACCGCCCCTCCGGCACGTCACCTTGTCGACGTCACTTGGCACCACCTCCCTGTTACGTCACCTTGACGTCTCTTGGAACCGCCCCCGGGTCAGTGACCTCGGGGTGTCACGTGGCCCCAGCATCAGTCCACGTGACCACCGGGGTGTCATGTGGCAAGGAGGGCGGTGCAACGTGACGTCGGCACGATGACGTATAGGTGGCGGGGCTGCGTGTTGTTATGTCAGGTGTCCCCGCACCGGGGTATTTCCAATATCCGCTGTCCCCGCGCTGTCCCCGCGCTGTTCCCGCGCTGTCCCCGTTATCGCCCCTCTGTCCCCGTTATCCCCCCGCTGTCCCGACTCCGCTCGGGCTCTGCGCATGCGCCGCGCTCCCGGAAGTGCTCGGGCGGTTCCGTTCTGGTTCCGGGCTATGGCGGCGGGGGGGCCGCGCCCGGCGCTGGCAGCGGGGCTGAGCAGCGCCGCCGGCCCGCAGGTACCGGGGGGATCGGGGCCGGGATCGGGGCCGGCCCGGAGCGGAGCCGCAGCCGCAGCCGCAGCCGCAGCCGCTCGTTGTGTGTTGCAGTGAGCGAGAGCCGGGGAGCGGCGGCGATGAGCGGCCGGCGCTGAGCCCGCCGAGATGGACGCGGAGGCCGTAAGTGACACAGGCCGGGACACCCGGACCCTGCCGCTGTCCCCTGCCCCAGAACCTTCCCCCGACACCTTCCCCCAGCCGGGGATCTGCCATCTCACCCCCCCCCCAGCTCCGAGGTTTAAAATGCTCGTCAGGAATGTGAGCAATGTCAGCACGGGGCGGTGCTCAGGCATAGAGAGCAGAGCAATAAATCTCTGTAATCAGTCGCTGTAATTAATCCGTGTTGGGTGTGCTGTGGGCTGAGCTTTGTCATTGTGCCGTTCCCTTGTGCTGCCTCCGGCCACAGGAGCCTTCGAGTGTCACACGGGCACAGCACTTCACCTTTAGGGTGCGGAGAGCTCTAAAACAGATCTAAAATTTCTGACGACACTCTCCGAGACTGTTCGCCGTGGCCCTGGGCTGGGACAGGCGTTGGATAGATTTGTCCCTTGCTGTCACCTCAGAATGGGTCAGGTGGGGAGGCAGCTCTGGAGCTCAGAGCAGTGAATATCTGCAGGGAAGGAGACTCCCGGCTGTCCTGGCATATTTAACAATGCTTGTACCAGAGATGGTGTGAAAGCAGGAGTGTCCCTTGAATGACACTTCCTTTTGATGTCATTTTCTTCCTTTTGCCGAGTTTTCCTTTGTGAAAATGCCTGTTGACAGCGCCTGTTACTGAGTGCTTTTGGTTTTCAGTCCTGAGGACTCTGCACTCGTGTTCACAATGCCCCTGCCCGGCTGTCCCCTGTGTTCAGCTGAACACAGTTCTGTGAACTGGGGACCTCCGTTATCACCAGATTCTCAATTAAAAGTGAAGAGATACAGAGATCAGGCTCTTGACAGTTCAGGAGAATTTCCAGTGTGATGAATTTCAGAAGGGCGCTGTCTGGAGGTGCTGACTGTGTGCTGTGGGTTCTTGCAGACCATCCCCATTTGGCAGAACAAGCCCCATGGCTCAGCTCGCAGCGTGGTCAGGATGATCGGCTCCAACCTCCCCCTGAAACCCTGTCCCAGGGCCACCTTCGAGGTGAGTGACCCCTGGCCTGGGGGTGGCCAGGACACTGCCACCAGGTGCTGGTTTGCCCCCACACACCTGCAGAGTTGTAGCCTCAAAGCCTGCACCAGTACAGTTAAGTTTAAGATTTTTTTTTTTAATTTTTTTTTTAATTTTGTTCTTGTAAAGTGATCTCTGCAACTTGAGGAGATCCCTGCTCAGTGTCAGAGCTGGAGGAGATGGAAAGGTGGAGTTGCTGACCCAGGGCTGTGTTGTGTGACCTCCAAGGAGCCTCTGGGCCTGTTCCAGGGGTTGTTGAGTCCCTGACGTCACCCTTGGAGCTCAGGGCTGGCACTGGCAGTGACAGAGTGGCCTTGGCAGCGCCTGGCCTGGGTCAGGTGTCCCCTCCTGCCTCACACACACAGCAGGGAGGAGCAGGAGCTCGCCCAGGGGAGCACAGCAGTGCCCAGACCCAAAGGATTCATCTCCAGCTCCAAAAACTTCAACAATTGTGCAAACCAAAGGAAAGCTGCTGGAGTTGCTGCTGGTGCTGTGACAGCACACCTGGGGCACTCCAGGACAGCAAACACGTCCTCAGCAGTATTTCCTTCCTGCCAGGTCCTGCCAAGTGTGTCAGATCTGTATTTGGGTGATGTGCCCCCCGTGCCCACCTTGGCTGACATCGTGTGGATTGCAGCAGACGATGAGGAGACCTACGCCAGGGTCAGGTTGGTTTTCACGCCCTGGTTGGTGTCACAGAGCTCAGCCAGACTCTGCTCAGGTCACCATAACTTCCAGTCCCTCAGGGTCTGATGTGGTGCCTCTTGAAGGATGTTTTTCCCAAGAGAAGGGGAGAAAAAAAAGACAAAGTACCTGGAGAGGAATTCCTGTAGGAAGTGCCAGGAGCCTGTGCCATGTCCTGTGTCACTCCCTGCTCTGGGCTGTTTGTTTAATAACCCCCTGCTCTGGGCTGTTTGTTTAATAACCCCCTGCTCTGGGCTGTTTTCTGCTCAGGAACTGGAAGGGCTGAGTTCTCCCAGGACTGAAATGCCCTCTCCAGCCTGGCCTTGGACACTTCCAGGGATCCAGGAGCAGCCACAATTTCCTGTGTTGCTTGTGCTGCATCTGCACCTCTGGTGGTTCTCAGAGGCTTCATTTGTTTTGTTGGAGGCTCTGCTGCTCCCAGGGGAGGCCAGGCTTTGTCATGGAGAGGTTTGGACTTAGTGGCTGACAGGATTTTGTCCCCAGGAGTGACACTCGCCCTCTGAAGCACAAGTGGAAGCCCAGTCCCTTCACAGTGATCCAGAGAAACGCCTCAGTGCCCAACCTGAGGAAGCAGGAGGAGAAGCTGCTGGCCCTGAAGAAGCCTGGTTTGCCAGCCCTGAGCAGGACCACAGAGCTGCAGGATGAGCTGAGCCACCTCCGGAGCCAGATCGCCAAGATCGTGGCTGCAGACTCAGGTGGGGTCACTGTTCGTGCTGGGGCTGAGCTCTGCTCTGTCCTCCAGCCCACTCGGGGCTGTTCTCCAGTGGGATGTTGGCTCTGGGGGCAGCTCAGGGGCTGTGTTTAGATTTTGATATAAATTTATATTCTGCTGTCCCACGTGGTTTGCTGTGAGTTCACCATCCCCTCTCTCGTTTCCTCCCGCAGCCTCTGCCCAGCTGACCCCGGATCTGTTGTCTCCAGGCAGCTCCAATGCCTCCTCTCCTGTGCATTGTTTTGGACCCTCCTTCCAGTCCACCACGTCCTTTGTGATCAGCGACATCACGGAGGAGGAGGCGGAGCTGGAGAGCCCCGAGCTGCCCTCGGTGGCCGAGCTCTGCTCCGCCCCTGAGAGCTGCAGGCCAGAGCCAAAGGACCCCGAGGACGAGGATTCTGTGTCCCTCTCCAAGGCCAGCAGCTTTGCTGACATGATGGGAATTCTCAAAGACATTCATAGGATGAAGCAGAGCAAGGATTTGTGAGTGCTCCCTGAACTTCTCTTTTTATTTTGGTGTCGAGTCCGTGCAGAGCCTGGACACAGCCCTGGCTGCTGCTCTGTCCTTCATTCCTGGGGGAAATGAGAACTTGGGAACTCATTCCTGGGCTTTTTTGCCTTTCTGGGATAGGAAATAATGGAGTATTTTCATGGGGTAAATACCATCTTGGAGCAGAACTT